CTTTAAAAAAGAATAATAACACCCCCCGCCCCCTCCATTCGGGAGTCCTATACTTCACAGACGCTCAGATCGCCGGTACTCACACGATGCCTTATCATGTGATGCGAACTCGCAGGTTCACTGACTGGTCACGATGGCGAGCCCGACAAGATGCTTGTATAACTTTCTTTTCTTTTTTTTTCACGAGTGACAGCACTTGACAAATATTGATTAATTTTCATGGCGACTCAGCGTTTGTAATGCACAACCTGCAAGTTATAAATATTGCATTATCTAGCAGACTATTACCGGAAAATTTCTGGGTGGTAACGAAAGCGACAATAGATCTTGGTTCTTCCCGATCGAGCCTTTGTGTCACACGTACACTTCCGTCAGCTGCCATAGCGGTCCAATTACGTTTCCTCTTCATGATTCATCAACCATACTGTCTAGATAGCTACAGTATTAATATTACACAGACCACATCCTTTCCCGACTTTTTCTCGACTTTCTAACCCATTACACAATTTCCGACTTTTTCACCGATTTCCCGACCTGGTGGGGACCCTGGAACCTATCCCCTACCTCCAAAGAAACAACAACCACCAAACAAAAAACAAAAAAAAACCAACAAAAAACCCAACAACAAGCAAAACAAAAAGCCACGTCATCTTGACTGCTGCAGTTCGTTGGCCAATACCACCCTCTTTTCTTTAAATCCAGAATTCATAGCCATATTTAAATCGTTAGTTCAAGACAGTCGATAAGTCATGTTTTGCTAAAGATCAAGTATGAAGTACCCTAGGACAACTGAAGAGAATGGTCGTTTAAAGCAACGAAATACAGGGCGGTTGATAAAATAACCAATTACAACGTACACTGAAAACACCAAAAGAAAAAGAAACAGCATCAACAACAACAAAACATTACATGTACAACTTTTAAAACGTATCTCTCGCAAAACTGGCTCTAGCATGTTGCAGTTTGGAGCAGACGTGATTCATTTAAAAGGAAATTATTTGAGATAAAATTCCTAGAGAAGAAACTTGTTTTCGAAAATGGCAATGGCTTCAGGAAAAAAATAACATAAGTAAACGCAAAATGCAACTATTTAAAAAACTGTAACGAGAGTCATGAAACGACTGACTTGTTTTTATTTGTCTTCCTTTTCTCTTTAACTTCAATTTTTCCACCGCTGTGACATTTAAACAATATTTCATTTCTCTTACGGTGGTAAAGCTCCCACCAATTTTTTTCTGGAATTTCCAGAATCAGCACCGTAAATGTCCTCTTTTAGACTCGAAACATCTTTAACACGTCGTTCAAAATGTTCAATGGCGCCTCAACACTAGGACACGCCAAATCATAGGTGCTCAAAGCCGCACACACTATACACCTTTCAGTATGAAGTGGCTTCTGGAGAGAGTAAAGAAAGGGCCAGGGAAGGAGGGGGGGGGGGGGGGGGGGGGGGGGGGGGTGCTCAATAGACAGCATTTTTGGAATTTACGAATCCTGAGAGGTGAAAAATTAGTTTTGCCACTGAACCTAACCTCACTGTGGAACTGTTCACGTTTTTCAGTTTGATCGAGAAACCATGAACACGTTGCAATCATCCGATCCATGTTAGCCTCGCGAACTTGAAAATGGTACGGTCGTAGGTTAAGACCTGCCTTTAGGTGGAGAAAAATCCTAGCTGCACTATTTTTGTATTCTGCCATGCCAAGGCAGAGCGACGTATCTGCAAAAAATTAATAATTTTTGCATCTTCGTTTAAATGGACGCCTGGACCCATTTTGCATCTTGTGTCTAAGACAGGAAGACGTATCTGCACTACAAATAAGATATTTCACTATGGCAAACGGACGTAACTGAAGGGCCCTGCCCATATATCCAATGGCAGCACGGCTTAATTGAAAATCATAAAACGTGCAGATACGTCGTTCTGCCTTGGTACGGCAGTTTGTACTCTTAAAAGACATTACAACTTTTTTTCTTACTCCTGGCGCCATTATCTGAATACATTTTATACTTCTTAGTATTTCCTACCAAGCCATTTAGAATGTGATCCAGTCCCACTTTATTGCCAATTCCATTATCTGAAATATTGCGTTATCTTCTTCACATAAACACACTATTGACATCTGGCGCGTCTGACAAAAGGGGGGGGGGGGGAGATTTCCCTTCGAATAAGCAAACAGAGAAGGCTAAATAAGGGGGGAAATTCCGAACAGAGGAAGAACAATAATTAAGAACTAGACTCTATGTTGCAAGCGGCGAACAACAAGCAACATCAAACAACCGCGTCTTTCCTGTCAAGAGAAAAACAGACAACTGTTGAACAAAAATACTTTGAAAAATTGAGAAATCGTAAAGATTTTTTTTCGCCAAATTGTATGTACAAGGAGACCAAAAGAGAACGTTCTTCAATACATTTACGCTGTACATGTTTTGGGATGTATCAAGTCAGCAGTTCCAAAGAGAAGAAGGTCAAGAAAAGAATAAACATGGATATTCAAAACAA